AATCACAGCATATTTATATATATATACAGTATATATATATATATATATATATATATATATATATATATAACTAATAAATACACAATAAAAACACTAAAACTAAGTAAAATTAAAATTATAAATGAAATAAACTAATTAAATTATTTAATTTCAGCAAAAATTTATAAAAACTATAATAGTATCTCAATTATACTAAAATAACACTGGTTTACAGTGGTTGCCAAATATGAATAGGTTATGATGGTTGACCATGGAAAATATTAAGTTATTTAAGTCAACTTGTTTAAACCGATTGCGTAAAAAACCCAGTTGAAAAAAAAAAGATTATTGAAAAAGAAATCTATATAAAAGAAAAAACTGAGTTTACTTATTTATTTGAGTGTTTATTAGTGTACTGTGCTTTAAAACCCTCCTGGAAACATTGTGTTTAAATCCATCTCATTTAAAGCACTACTGCTACAGTCATGCACATGCAAACATGCACGATGTATGTGGACAATATTTAAGTGTGCTACCATGAGCACTGTGTTTTAACTTAAAAAAAAAAAACCTTAATAAACCATTCTACAATGAATTTATTAGCCTAAATACAGGTGATATTGCAGATTTTTTGTTTGGCAGATTATTATAGAATTCAACCGATGGTGCATGTGCACTAATATATTTTATAAAAATAGTTTGAACCGATTCATGGAAGTACTGAAACTCGAATGCCATTGTGTGCTACTTAAATTAGAGATGCCTTTTAAAATATCTCATATTAACAGAAACTTAACCAAAAAAAAAAAAAAAAGACAGCTACGTGCAAGTATACCACAGAGCATAGGCTAACATCTGATACTTTAATTATCGGTCACTGCGTTTATGTTATTGTTTGTTTTGCACATGGTTAAGGTTCTAAAAACAGCATTGACTTTCACGGAAATCCACCAGCAGGCCGTATAAATGATGGACGTGGCATGGTAACGTTAGATGGAAAGATATAAAACTGCCTGGATGAGAGAGCAGCGCTGCCCTTTTGCTCTCTATAGGTCAGCTTTATTTGAAGTGTGCAGTATGCAGTGTGGCAGAGCTGACACATGCATTCTAATTTCAGAGTGCTGCACTAAGACAAGCTATTTGCCAGCAACACAAAAAGTATCCTCAAAAAATTGATGATGTTCACGCGGCCAATTACTGGGCTCAGCAAGTTCCCATGCTTCATTTACATAATAATCATTGCCTAGAAATTGATCAACAGTCAAAAATGGTGCTTATGCACACCAATCAATGTGAAATTACATATAATAAAACAAACAGATAAAGCTTTAAAGTTTATCTATGTACACGCTGAATGCACACTGATTCAATAGTATATGAATGAGATAACTAGCTAAATGGCTACATAAATAGCTTACAGTTACATTTATGAAATAGTGCGCAACAGTTGGGTTTCTGGAAGTACAAATTCATTTTCTCCATTGGGGAATTAATTTTGAATGGTAACTTATAAACAGTTAAAGACAGACCTCTTTTGAGCTACAAAGTTGTTAATCAATAGTATGTAAGCCATTAGCCCACACTACTTCAACTTATTTCTAAAAGAATCGTTTTTAACAGTGGAATTCCTGTTGAAAAACTACATTACCCATGATTCGGCAGAAAAATCTCCACCAATCAGATAATCATGACCTAAACAAATTGCACCAAAAGATTCATCCACTCCAATGAACCGCTGCTAATGACGTCCCTAAACTCACAAAGTAATTAAGGGTGCTTTCACACTAGCACTTTTGGTGCACACCCGGGTTCAATTGACGTCAGAGTTCGGTTCGTTTGAATGATGTCCGAACTTGGGTTCGCACTAATGGTCGACCGATATTGGTTTTTTGACAGCCGATGCCGATGCAAAGCCGACATATTTTGTATTTATTTTAATTAATATTTAAGAAATTTGAAATCATTTGAAAATGGATTAAAAAATAAATTTGTAAAATAAACATACTTATACTTTAGATGACAAAGTATTTTCCACAAATAAATAAATATTTAATAAAAATATAATTAAAAAGGAAGTAAACTGTAACCAACAGAGCACTCAGTATTCTGGGAAGTTTGTGTGCACTGGTAATCATATTTTTCCAAATAAAGCCAAGGTAACACTCATTTGACATGAATATGACAGTGGGCAAATGCATAAAGCGCAGCATAATTTGAAATCACAAATTTAATGTTTATTATAATACTTTTTGTATACATTTTAATTCCTTTGTTTAACAGTTCATCTAAAGTCTACTTTAGACAGAAATACTTCCTTTGTTTAACATCGGATTATTAGACGGACAGAACTGTTAACGACGACGGCGAACAAGAGGGAGTATGTGAGCACTGTGTGCTCAGGCGCTGCAGCTCTCAGCGCCGTCAAAATAAAAGTCCCGCCCTGAACGCATCGGCCAAACAGAAAAACTTATCGGCCGATGCCGATATTTGAAAAATGCCAAATATCGGCCGTGGCGATATATCGGTCGACCACTACTTACAACTATCTGTCAAGCATTAGAGGCAGAAACCAGACTTACATTCCGGCAAATAAATTGACTTGAAACTCAACTTTAATGACGTATTATTTGATAAAAATGTGTTTGTGTGTGTTTCACTCGCTTTCCTGATGAGCGTGACTGACACGCTGCAAACAGATAGCTGTATATCTCATTTCTGTTAGCCTTCAGCGTTCTTTAGAGCATTTGCAGTACATTTGTAAGACAGACGTAAGTGCCGTTATGTACCGAAGCTTTGTAAACAAAATGAACGGTTCAAAAACGTAAATATATAAAAGTACACACACACACATATATATACACACACTGTATATATAAACCAACATCTTTAGAACAAAAGTTTCATATTTCTTTATCAATTTTAATTCGGTCATTTCATTTGCAGTGCCTCATGTGGTTTGTAGTGTTGTTTGCTTCATGGCTTACAATGCATTCATGATTTGAGTGATTTTACAATACTTAAAGTCATTCCGCCAAATGTCCTTTAGGCATGCAAAATGCTCTTTGACATACATATTATAAAACAAATGGTTCCAGCTCTAAAATCCGTTGATATGACCACACATTGAATGCGATAACTAGCTAAACTGCGACATATATTGGCTACAGTTACACACATGAAATATGTTATTTGGTGGAGGAATCGCAATTACTGTATTGTCTGGGATATAAAGTCACTATGATTTTGTCACTTCTGTTCAAAATTCTAAATTTTGATAAGATGAACTGTGTTTGAAGACGTAACATGTATGCAACTGCAATTCTATAGTAATGAGCCAAGTTGCAATGTTAGAATTATTAATAAACGTAATTATTTATTGAAAATTGATGTCTTTTATCATATTGCTCTTGCCGCCGTTTAATAAAAACCAAGAAAAAAGCCATGAAATAGCGATTTTACCATAGTTAAAGGCATTCCACCAAACTTGGTTCCTTAAAACATCCCATAGCCGTGCTAAATGCTCTTTGAATTTATATATGAAACTCAAAACATTACTCAATAAATCTTTACTCAAAAAAGGACTAATTAATGAAAATACAGCATTATCCATGTCCTCACATTGCTGCTAACAAAAAAGATGCGTCAAGTCTTACCTTCAGCGAGTCGAAGCAGGCGATCACCCGTCCGTTCTCCACCTGGCAGCTCTTGGGCGGGTGGGCAAATTTGCATTCCTCGTCGCTGCGCGAGCACGTCCCTCTCTGAAACTGCCGGCACACCTCGAGCGTCAGCCATTTTGTGTCTCGCATCGACGCAATGTTTAAAGCCATAGCTGTTTGAGAACCTCTACGGTGTCAGTAGCGGGACTGTTGATTTGGGTTCAAAAGTCTGCGAACGTATTTCTGTGTTGTTTTGTGTCTAGTTTTGTTGTTTGTTGGCAAGGCCCTTTAAATAGAGATGTCACATTCAGACCCCGCACATTCAGCTGTCGCACGGGAGATGGCCGCTATCAGTGAAGCTGTCAATCTCTGCCAAGTCATTCATCAGTCATTTATTCCCAGGTGCACAACACTGGCGCGACAATAAGAACATGCTCCAGGTCTCCAAATGGTCTTGAGCCGATGGTTGTGGACAGCAATATCTGAAGGCAATGACTCTCCTTGGAATGATATCTAATAATGTCCGTGAATGGAAAGAGCGTGTCAGTTCCTTGTGCCTTGGCAAGTCTGAGGAATTGAGATCTTTTTGGAGGCCAAGCCAGTGTTGTTTACAATGTAGGATGAGAGCAGTGAGCAGCTTCAAGTAGGAATGTCAGAGAAGGCACTTTCTTCTGTACGGGATCTGGAAAAGAAGGCCCAGATTTGATTGGAGTAAGAAACATGGACAACAGAAGCTTTCCACAAGGATTTGACCATTTCTAGGTGGCACAAAATTGAATTTCCTACATTTAAGTATTAATTTAAATATTTCTAGTGCTCATGGAGCAACTGCTAGGGTCAGAATATTTAACAAAATTACAAAAAACATTTCAAAACCACCTATTATGAAGCTTAAAGTAACCTAAAGTAAGAAAATAAATATTTTAAGTACATGATAGCATATTAAACCACCTAAAAGAAATAACAGACAGATGTTTTCCTGGAAATTTGAAGCATTGCTGTTACCTAATCAGAGGCAACATATTTAAAGTTAGTAGGGTTGGGCCGATAGACGTTGCCATCGTCCATCGCCGATGGCTGATAGACATCACGATGTTGAGCCGACATCGCGATCCCCATCACCCACCCCACCCCACAGGTCACATCCGATTGGCAATCACATTCACGAAATTAACAGATATGTCTGTAATTGGCTAAAATGCTCAACACTGCAAAAACCGGAGATGTATGCCATGGGGGTATAACAGTTAATAGGCTGCGCTCCAGACCATCACCACAGCACATCGACATGTCTCTTATTTTTTTAAAGTAGACATATTATGCCCCTTTTTACAATATGTAATATAAGTCTCAGGTGTCCCCAGAATGTGTCTGTGAAGTTTCAGCTCAAAATATCCCACAGATCATTTATATAATTTTGAAAATGCCTATTTTGAGAGGAAGCAGATACACACAGTTTTTTCGTGCCTGTCTCTTTAAATGCAAATGAGCTGATGCTCCCCACCCCCTTTTCCAGAATAAAGCTGCACCATTACAGCTCATACCTGCTAAAAAACATGTTTTGGTTCTGATTATCATGTTTATCGCGCTGAAATCATCATCAAACCATATTAGTTTAAACTTCTGATATACGGTTTTCTGAGTGCACACATCCGAAGCACATGGACAGAAAGCGGCTGTCACAGCATGTGAGTACTAAACTAAGTTCTCATGCACACACAAGTTTACGTAAAAAAAACACGAATTACAAAAACAGTCGGTTATGTCTGTGAAGGTAAACAGCTGGGAAATAAATTGCATGTTTATTTAAATCTGTGTGGTAGCAGCAATATACAATAAATAAATCAATAAATCCTCTGCTCTGTTGTCTCCTCTGAGGCTGGGACTCTAAATAGTGTTCTGTGCTTGTCTGTCCAAGCCAGTGTTGTTTACAATGTAGGATGAGAGCAGTGAGCAGCTTCAAGTAGGAATGTCAGAGAAGGCACTTTCTTCTGTACGGGATCTGGAAAAGAAGGCCCAGATTTGATTGGAGTAAGAAACATGGACAACAGAAGCTTTCCACAAGGATTTGACCATTTCTAGGTGGCACAAAATTGAATTTCCTACATTTAAGTATTAATTTAAATATTTCTAGTGCTCATGGAGCAACTGCTAGGGTCAGAATATTTAACAAAATTACAAAAAACATTTCAAAACCACCTATTATGAAGCTTAAAGTAACCTAAAGTAAGAAAATAAATATTTTAAGTACATGATAGCATATTAAACCACCTAAAAGAAATAACAGACAGATGTTTTCCTGGAAATTTGAAGCATTGCTGTTACCTAATCAGAGGCAACATATTTAAAGTTAGTAGGGTTGGGCCGATAGACGTTGCCATCGTCCATCGCCGATGGCTGATAGACATCACGATGTTGAGCCGACATCGCGATCCCCATCACCCACCCCACCCCACAGGTCACATCCGATTGGCAATCACATTCACGAAATTAACAGATATGTCTGTAATTGGCTAAAATGCTCAACACTGCAAAAACCGGAGATGTATGCCATGGGGGTATAACAGTTAATAGGCTGCGCTCCAGACCATCACCACAGCACATCGACATGTCTCTTATTTTTTTAAAGTAGACATATTATGCCCCTTTTTACAATATGTAATATAAGTCTCAGGTGTCCCCAGAATGTGTCTGTGAAGTTTCAGCTCAAAATATCCCACAGATCATTTATATAATTTTGAAAATGCCTATTTTGAGAGGAAGCAGATACACACAGTTTTTTCGTGCCTGTCTCTTTAAATGCAAATGAGCTGATGCTCCCCGCCCCCTTTTCCAGAATAAAGCTGCACCATTACAGCTCATACCTGCTAAAAAACATGTTTTGGTTCTGATTATCATGTTTATCGCGCTGAAATCATCATCAAACCATATTAGTTTAAACTTCTGATATACGGTTTTCTGAGTGCACACATCCGAAGCACATGGACAGAAAGCGG